AAATATTTTTAATTTTAGTTTTTTTTTAAATGGTTTTTAATTATAAGTTTTAAAAATTGGTGTTAAAAAAAATCTTTTAATTAAGGAAGATTAAATTCCAAATTATTGTTTTAAATCAAGTTTTAATATTATGTTTTAAGTTAAGTTTTTTTTAAACGGTTGTTAATTTAAGTTTTTTTTTAAATGTTTTTAATTTAAAATTTTTTAATGGTTTTAATTTTATGAAAACATGATATATGTTTTTTTAAATAGAATTTAATAATATTAATTAAACTAATAAAATAAAATTATAAAAAAAAGGAAAAACAAAATAAAAGGGGAAGGGGTCAGTTTGCTGATCCATTTAGGGTTTTGAAACCCTCTTCTTCTTCTTCATTGCGGCGCAACGGCTCCTTCCTCTTTGTGGCTTTGCTGTCCGTTCTTCTTCCATTTTTATGAATCTTCTTCTTCTTACTTGCATCTACACCTGAAAAACAGAAAAGAAAACCAACCAAATCGTGAAACAGCTCATCAAAGCTTACCTTTTTTCTTGTGATGATACGATAATGGTGTGTTGCTGTTGTTCACGGCCAATGACAAAGCTATCCTTCTGAGGTTGTTTGGATTTGCGTTCGCGAACGGTGACGCGTGATGCCCCTCGTTCGTTGAGGATGGTGTTGCCGACGTCGTGGTTTGCGTCGCGGATCTGCTCAGTGGTTGATGCTGCGTTTTTTGGTGGCTTCCAAATCTCCTTTTTTGACGTTTGGGCTTGTTGTGGTTACGGTTCTTCAAATCCTTCTTTTTTTCTTTTTCTCATCTGAATTGATGATCATATTATATTTATTATAATGTTTTTGCTTGGGCCTGGGTGCTTGCGATTTTCATGATGAATTTGTTGCCGCTTTGACTCAACCTTACAGATTTGTGGCGATTTTGTGGATTTATGGTTTTAATTTTAATTTTTGGAGTGGAAATCTGCAACAGTTTGTTGCTGCGCTTTATTTAGAGCAGAGATAGCGAAAGTTTGTTGTTACTTTTGACTTGATCTTGCTTTGGTTTGGCTGGAATTTGGAATGTTGTTGCGTTTGGATCTTGTTGGATTTTTCCAGGAAATTGGTTGCTGTTGTTGAACTGGATTTGGATATCCATGGATTTGCAGTTGCCGTTGCTGCTGAAATGGATTTGGATATCCATGGATTTTCACTTTGGATTTGGATGTCCTAAGTCTTGTTTGGCAAAAAATCAATTTTTCAGAATAAGCACTTTTCCAAAAAAACACTTTTTCCAAAAATCACTTTCTCTCTCTCTTGGAATACAAGCTCGAACAGATATTGCCGGGTCTGTGCCAGGGTCGGAAAATAAAAGTCGGGGGATGCGGTGACATTTACTTGTTACCCCTCCCAACTAGGGCTGGAAATGAGTCGAGTCGAGTCGAACTCACCTCAGCTCGGCTCGACTCGTTAAGAATTGGTTCGAGTTCGAGTTCGACACAAACATTTTTTTAAGCTCAAACTCGAATCGTTATAAGTTCACGAACAGTTCGGTTCAACTCGTTAGGTTCATCTCATTAGGTTCAGCTCACATGATTCACGGACTTAAAAACTATTGTTTTAAATATATATATTTTTTAGTATATTTGACATTTGAAATAAATATATATTTTTAAAATAAAATATTAAAATAAAATAAAAGTTATCATATTAAAATTTAACTTTATCTTCGAAATCTACTAATTCAAAACCTACACAACTTTCAAGAGATACATTAGAGAGTCTAATTCAAAAACTACTAAATTGAAGATTAAATTTGTCTAAGATTTAGAGTAAATATTTAAACCTATCTTAAGGACAGTATAATTCTTCTCATATGTAATCGAGTTGACTCATGAACCTAACGAGTCGAACTATGTATAGTTCAAGTTCAACTCATTTAGTTAACGAACTTAATTTTTCGCTCATACTCAACTCATTTGGTTCATGAACCTAGTTCAATGATTTAATTGTCGAATCGAATTCTGAACTATTTTTGAGTTGGTTCGGTTCATTGTCAGCCATACTCCCAACGTACCCGATGATGAATTTTAACTGAGGGTATCAGAATACAAACAAAAACCATTTCTGATTAATTCTAACACTTTAACCATGGTTTTTATCTGTTGTCGATTTTTGCAGGTCCGAAAAGTCGAAACGAAGATCGGCACAAAGACAATTAGGATTTTTAGGAAAATAATTAGAAATCAATTTGTAATTGTAATCATATTTGTATATTGTAATAAAAAAATATAGAATTTAAATAAATAAATTCCATTTTTCTTAATAAACTGAATTTAATTCCTGATCAAATTTCTCCGCGTAAATTCATCCGATTAAACTCAAGCAACTAAATTCACTCGATTAAGTTCGATCGATCAAAATCATCCGATTAAATTCAAATTGACCAAATTCATCCGATTAAACTCATCCAAATAAATTCATCTGATTAAATTTATCCAATTAAAATTATCTGATTAAGCTTTGACGTTCCAAACTCCGAATTTGACAGTTAATCATCTCGCACAACGTAGAATTAAATTTCATCCGATGTAATTCCTGAGTTCAAACAAATCCCTTTGCAAATTAATTCGTACCCGACAATAAAATCGGTGAATATGGTCTTGAACAGGTAATCAGAGAAATCATCCATTTAACAGTGAAACGAACTGTCCTCCGCATTGAAAATTCAAATTGTATCTCGAATAATCTAGCCCCGTGACCTGAATCCGCTCGACTAATAATCATGGCCAAACCCACAGATATTTAATACAAGTTTAGCACGAATCGAAACTCCACCATTCCTTTAAAATCGATTGGTAACCAGCAGCAAGCAGGAAAACGGGTGTCCATTAGAATAAATTCCTCAGAGAAAATTCTCGCACCGATTTAACCCGAGTTCACTTGTATTTCAACACACTCAGCTCCATATGGTTTAGGACGTAAACAGACCTTTACAACTTAACTGATGACTACTTCTGGTTCCTGAACAAAATAAACTGTGTCACGAGAAACCAGACGTCAGAACCATTGCAAAATTCAAACCATTCTCAGATAAACGTCGCATGATTCGGAGATAGAAACCCTAATTGTTTGAGGAATTTCTGATGATGACTTTGCTTCATAAATTGTCAACAGGCTGTAAGTTATGACCCTTTTTTGCCCTTCTAAATTAAAGCACGAACTGTGTGATTTTTCTGCAAAAACCAACAGACTGGGCAAACCGGTTAGTGTTTAGTTAAAATGCAATGCAGAATGAAATGAAATGCGAAATGAACCTAATAATCTAAGGATAAAATTTGGGGTATGACAAAGACCATGCAAGATGATAAAATAGAATCTAACCTAATAACATTATATCGTGTCTGGTTCTGAATAGGTTGACAACTAGGCAAAATCAATTGATGCGCCAATTCGTGTCTAGTTCTAGTAATGTGGGATGTGTGCTTTGTATTGGCTAAGAGGATTTTGTTGATCATCTTTTTGTATTATGTGACATTGATTAAACTATCTAGTATAAAGTTTTTAGTTGGATGGGTTGGCTTAGGCCTTTGCCATATTCGATGTTAGGGTTCTTTTAGTCGGTTACAATCTGGCATTCTATGGTTTGAAAGATATGAAAAATGCAGAATAAATTTATTTTTTATCATGAAATATGGTCGGTAAATCACTCGATGTCTACATTTATTAGCTTAGCGAGGAAGTTAGTGCATGCTCACGTTCTAGGTTTTGTCGTTTCTCTGTTAGACTGGGAGTGAGACTCACTCATTTGACTTGGCATTTAAGGGTATGCTGGTGGCCAGCTGCCCTCCTTTAATTTTTGTAAGTGGTCAAGTTTACCTTCCTCTAGCTAGCTTTCTCTAGAATTTTGATCTGTTTAATGTTTAAGGTAAATCAAATTGTTGATCTGGCTGGCTTGCACTTTCTCCTTTGATGTGGTTGTCTAACTTTTTGTTTTGGTTGTGGATATAGATTTTGGAAAGCAAGCAAGGGAAAAAGCACTAGTTTCAGCGAAACTATTCTTTACCCCTAAAACGTCAGAGAAAAGTACTTTTAGGCAAGATCGGCTAGTGAAACCCGATACTCCTTTAATTTTTAGGAAGGAAAGTTTGAGTCAAAGTCATTATGAATCCTCAGTTTGAAGGCAATTCACCTTCACCCAACATCTTTTAAAGTTTTAGTCTTATTATTTATCATCTGCTTGCGGCTCTGACCAACCCATCTTCCTCCATGTCCTCGTCCGAGTTTCACGCAATTGGTCATCATTTATGGTCTGGCCGACTCGCCGAGGTTGAGTTCCTCCCTTATTTAGAATCTATACGGCTTTCTTCGTCTCTATTATTTGATTTATCAATAGCCAAAAACTTGACTTTCATGTCTGCGAGAGGTTTTAGTAATTATTATTATTATTTTTTATTTAATAAATAATATTTAATAATTTGAATGAAAAGAATTAATTCAATAATGTTATTATTCACATATTATTTATTATTTGGCAAAATAAAAGTATATATATATATATATATATATATATATATATATATATATATATATATATATATATATATATATATATATATATATATATATATATATATATATATATATATATATATATATATATATATATATATATATATATATATATATATATATATATATATATATATATATTAGACAAATAGACTTAAATGTTCAATAGCTAAATCAAATTATTTTATGGGTATTAGTTAATTATTTGGATGACAAATATTTTAGCATTTGGTTAGATTTAAAAAAATTGGATCAGTTTATTTATGAATTTGATCATGAAGAATTTTTCGCACACCCTACCATTAATACTACATTTCCGTTTAAAAAAAAACTCTTACCGTGTGACTTGTTGTCGTTGTAGTAGTTTAGAAATGTAGAATTCTATTCTATCCACACACACAAGTAAAGTTGCTGATAAATGCTAACCATATCCATACGCATAGTGTTCGATCACCTAAAATGGCAAACACCGACACCGTTCGTCTTGGGATCTTAGGCTGCGCCAACATCGCTAGAAAACTAGCCAGAGCCATTGCACTTGCTCCCAACGCAACCGTCTCCGCCATCTCAAGCCGCTCCCTAGAGAAGGCGAAGAAATTCGCTGCAGAAAACAATTTACCAGCAAGCGTGAGAATCTACGGTAGCTACGATGAGATCATGGTTGATTCAGGCGTGGACGCGGTGTACATTCCTCTCCCGACGAGTCTGCACGTTCTATGGGCGGTTACTGCAGCAAATAAGAAGAAGCACGTGCTCGTCGAGAAGCCTGCGGCTCTCAACATGGCAGAGCTTGATCGGATCTTAGAGGCTTGTGAATCAAACGGCGTGCAGTTTATGGATGGTTCTATGTGGTTGCATCATCCTAGAACTGCTCACATGGAACAATTACTCTCTCTTTCTAATTCCACTGGTATCGGACCCGTTCATTTTGTAAGTAGATGTACTATTTCATTTCTTATTTTCTATTTGCGTTAGATTTTATTTATATCTATGTTTATAAATTTTATTTGCATTATGCTATAGATTCATAGCACATCAACAATGCCAACGACACAAGAGTTTTTGGAGAATAACATAAGAGTAAAGCCAGAGTTAGATGCTCTCGGTGCTCTTGGTGACTTAGCATGGTACTGCATTAATGCATCCTTATGGGCAAAGGGCTACAAACTGCCAACCACCGTTACCACCCTCCCCGACGTCACGAGAAACTCGGCCAGAGTCATATTGTCAATCACAACTTCTTTGCAATGGGACAAACCGAATCAAACAGTTGCAAATATTCACTGCTCGTTTCTTTCTCACACGTCCATGGATTTAGCAATTTGTGGTTCCAATGGGTCTATGCATGTTAAGGACTTCATAATCCCTTATAAGGAAACTAGTGCAAAATTTGATTTTACATTTGGTGCAAAATTTGCTGATCTTCACATTGGGTGGAATGTGAAACCAGAGGAAGTTGATGTGGCCAACAAGCTCCCACAGGAAGCTTTGATGGTGCAAGAGTTTGCTAGGCTTATTGCAAGTATTAGAGATTGTGGGTCTCATCCTTCTCCCAAATGGCCGGAAATTAGTAGAAAAGTTCAATTGGTGGTTGATGCCGTGAAAATGTCTTTAGAGCTTGGCTGCAAGCCTGTTGCATTGTAGTTAAGTAGTTTCAAAGATATTGCACAATTTATACACATGTAGTTGGAAAAATTTTATTAAACTTTCATTTTGAATTAAATGAATTTATGTATGGATTGTTTATGAAATAAATTTAGGGTATTTCTTAATCTACTATGGGCACCACCTGAAAATATAAAAATACTCCGATTTCAGAGATGCAACTCCAGACGCACTCTAAACACACACATCATAAGACAATTATGTGTCACGTCCTAGGAGTGTGGTTTTTTTTATCCGAAGATGAATCTCCGTAACCTATACGTAGATGCATCTCCGTAGAATAATGAAACAGAAACCGAAGCAGAAAATTAAAAAGTTGTATTTTGACATGATAAAATTACCATTCATAACATAAAATCAACATTACATAGGTGATTTTAACATAAAATCAAACATTATATTTCAATATCCAGGTGGACGCTTCAACGTCTTCACAATATCTTCAACCGACCTTGAAATTGCCGCTTCCACCTCGATCAGAACTTTTGTTTTGAAACGGCTCGAGAACCACAATTACCATCACCCTCAACATTGTTCTTTGATGTGGAGTTTCATATTGTCATCGAGTTTTAAGATATGTTGCCGACCAACTGAGAATAAAGATTGTCCGACACACCTCTAAAGTCCAAGTAACATTCTACTATTTTTCTCTCTCTAGAAATGCAAACGTGGCCGAATAGGTTTTCTCAGTAGAGGTAACACCAACCATCTCCAATAGTGGAAGTTTGTACTTGTTGGTCTTATACGTTGAATCAATGATGAACACAATATGAAACATGTTGAACAACTTGATGGAATGAGAATAAGTCCAAAATATATCTCTAACGGTTACTTCATCCTCACATGTTCTTTATCTGGAAACATAACTTTCATCATCCAAAAGTTTCAATATTTGTTGCATTTCACTTCTATCTCACCTTAGCGCCTTGTTATATTGGTACCGAATATTGTACACTTACTTGATATTTGAGATATTTTCTAGTCTTTTACGTTTTAAAGTTGCAAGTATATTTTTTCGGTTGAACCAAATTCAATGTCATGTTTGAAACACATGTCATTCTCTTTCGGCATGAGGCGACACGCAATTGGATGGCCGACTAAATTTTTGTACAAGTCAGGATTATGTGAACCACATATGAGATTAAATCTCCATTTATTATTTGCCAACATATAATCATGCAAGTTAAAGGGACACTCACATTTTCTTGAACCGGTGTCATCTCATTTAAAAATTCCGGAGAGGGTGTCTATATTTTCCACTTATTTCACATGTCATTGTCACAAATGAACATCTTATATCCGAACCATTTAAAATATTTTGTTGTGTAGCTTTTGTCCATGTCTTCAAGAAATACCTAACTAAGTTGCATTTGAATGTCATTATATATGTCTTTGTAGGTTATCCTCATAACATAAGATGGTACGAATATTCTTATCATCCTAGTTTTAAGTACTTTGCTCTTAAAAGGGTCACCTTTCACAAAAATGTGTCTTACTTCAGTTGTTCCCAGCCTCGAGGGGGGGGGGGGACGAATGACTCAGCCTCTAAGTTTTATTTTTTGATCCCCAATTATAACTTCCCTAAGACATCAGAGTTTACTTCTAATATTGTGTTGTCACCTATTATGACTGAACATACTCTTAGTCATATCCATAATCTACATCTAGTCCTTTTTTTGTTCCTCTATTGTCTTCTGTTTTGTAGGAACCAACATCTTCAACATACATTATAGTGTATCAAAGAAAAATTAAACCTAATATGCTCTTGAAACAACTTCAATCTCATGAATCAGAGGCTAATATTAAAAATAATTCTCCTATTGGTGATTTTCAAACCTTTGATACTTGTGATATTTATTTAAATGAGATATTCATTGCTTTGATAAAAGATGATATATCTTGTCCCTTCAAATATCGATATCCTATTTCTTAAAAGATATCTTTTGATGTAGCATCAAATTTTTATTGGAGCCATTGATTATATGAGAATCTCGTCATCTGTTGAAGAAGGATTGCAATATAAAACTTGGACCCAAGATATGAGTGAGAAAATGAAAGCTCTTGAGAAAAGTATTACTTGGTAAATTTTTGAGAGGTATGGAGGCAATAGGCTAGTTAGATGCGAATGAATATATACTGTAAAGCACAAATTAGATGACACCCTTAATCATTACAATGCAAAACTATTAGAAAAATGTTATACCCAAACATATGGCTTTGATTATGAGAAGACATTTGCACAAATGGCTAAGTTGAATAATGTTTGGATTTTACTATCTCTTGATACTTACTCTGGATGGAAATTATAACAATTTGAAGTTAAAAACACGTTCATGCATGGAAACTTAGACGAGGATGTGTATATGGAGATTCCACCCAGTTTTAGTACTACGGGTGGAACCAACAAGGTGTGTCATTTGAAGAAGGTCTTAAATAGGTTAAAGTAGTCCCTTTGGGCATAGTTTAGAAGATTTACAGTGACCTTTTTATGTGTTTCGGCTATAAGAAAATCCAAAGAGATCATGCTTTGTTTTGTTAAATATACACAAGGAGGAAAGTGGACTATACTTTTTGTTTATGTTAACAATATTATTGTTACATCAGATGATTAGACAGAGAGACAACTACTTAAAAAATATTATCAGCAGATTTTGAAATGAAAGACCATGGGGAACTCAAGTACTTCTTAAAATTGAGGTAGTCCATTCAAATAAAGACATTTTTATCTCTCAAATAAAATATGTCATTGATCTTTTGAAGGAAACATGAAAACTTGAATGCAAACCTACTTGTTTTCCTATTGAACAAAGTTATAAGATGAGCTATAAGGAGGAAAATGTCAAAGTTTACAAGGATCAATATTAGATGTAATGGGAAAGTTTACTAACTTGACCCAAACTAGGTGGGATTTGACATATGAAATCAGTGTCGTAAGCCAATTCAAGCATGATGCAATGGTGAGACAATTACTGGCTCCCATGTTCTATAACATCTAAAATTCACTCCATGGAGAGGACTTTTGTTTTAAAGCTATTGTACCTTCTCACATGACAACCTTTTTGTTTGGAAAAGTAAGAAGTAAAACGTAGTTACTTGATCAAGGGGCTAAAATAGAATTCATAGTTATGGAATCATAAAACAAAGAACTATTATGGATGGAAAAAATACTAGAAGATTTGAAGATACAATGTGAAGACACAATGATGTTATTTTATAGAAATAATTTGTCATTAATATTAAAAATAATTAGGTCAATAATACATGATAAAACACATTGAGATTGACCAAAATTTCATAAAAGAAAAGTTGGATATCAATTGTGACCTAACTGATAGTGAAGTAATTTGGTGGTTGGAATCTCAATATCACGCTTATTCTTACAATTGTTCTTTTGTATGTGTTCGCATTAAAAGTATATGTCAAGTGGCCCGAGACAAAGGAGGAAAAGACCCAAAGGTATGGGTGGATCAGGAGGTGTTGTACACCGTTTTTGTATTCGCAGGTACTAGAGGTATGGATCACCCTTTCACCGAGGTAGGTTCGTCATCAAACTAATGGGCTAAGGTTTGCTCTTCCTTAGGCATGGTACATCTATAATATGAAAAATTTCAAGGACCGATAGTACTAGTTACGCCCTCATTGAGGTAACCCATTCATGTACATGTGATGTTCAACTTGGTATGCCTTCAAGCCTAAAATATGGGCGTTAGAACCACTTTCTAGATGGTTCAGGAATTTATGTCTATCTCCTTAATGACCTTTCCTAAAAAGATACTTGTTTAAATAAGAAGTTGATAGATTTTTGGAATGGTTTTAGCTTTGTTGATGGCTTTGGGTCTTGTGTAGCAACATCAATGAGGCAAAAGAAACAATATATAGGGACCAGTCTGCTAGTGGAGGTTGCCATCAAAAAGGAAAAAGTGATATATTTGGTGTTGGGTGGAATACTTCTTTTTATTTGTCTGACCATTTTAATGAAAGTGTCTTCCTATTTGTTTGTCTTTTGCTTGCAAATAAGATGAGTTTCCACAAAGTGATATTCCAAATGTAGAGGCTACCCAAATATTTCTTCTTCTCATGAAGTTGTTGCTTTGCTTGTTCCTGATGGGGTTCATGCTTTGGGGATCCGTGTCGATCTTTCTCTTTTATTTCTCTTGTTTCAATGTGTTATGGTGTAAAACCCTCTTGAACAACATACATAAGATGATTCTTTGAACTCGGTGCAACACATAGCCATAGATGGTACCTTGAGGGGAGGAGTTAACGAAGCGAGTCTTTTTAGGAAGTCGTTCTCGAAAAGGCCAAGAATAGTGGAACCATACTTGAGAAGGTCAGGTCATGGTGGGAGTTCATCATTTTCCTTGGCTAGCTTGTCATTATTGTTCATGGCTCGCCCTGATCCTAAAATGGCTAGGGAGCTTCGGTCTTTCATCTTTGAAAAATAATATACCTATATTTTCGAGCAAAGTAAAAGTTGTACATGAAGAAGAAATGGATTAATGTCGTACTAGATACGTAAGGCTTTGGTCATCCTGACCTTTGGTGTTGTGGGTAAATGGGACGTCTTTGTACTTGACTACATTCGAAAGGAAAAAGAGGTACTCGATGAGCGTATTAGTTTCTTTGTTATAGAGAGGGATTGAATTTTTGATGAGCTTATTTAGTCGAGAAACCTCGTGAAGAAAATTGGTGATGAGGTGTGAGTTTCCCATATCCCCATTAGCTGAGACGATGTAGTTGTTGACTCAGAGTATAATGGAGAAGAAAGCCACAATATTGTCGATTCGAAAAGCGTTATGTAACACCGAAACCATGTTGGGGAAATTTCGAAAATATTAAATTGATAAATAATAATGATTAAATTGATTTTATGAATCTTTATAATCATAAATGGCTATGTGTTGTAGTGGTTATGGATTTTACAATAAAGTTAATGGTCATGGGTTTGAATCCTTGATTTGAACATTTTTTGGATTTAT